TTCAATTAACGTGATCGAGAGTCGAAATGTAATTATATTTTTGTTATTATTCTTAAACAGAATTTTGCAATAGTATAATTTGGAATTGTAATATTATATACATATATATATATACATTTATTAGCAACTCTTTGGTCACATTAATTCAATTTGAGAGAAAATAAATTGAAAGAACGTATTATGGGGAATGTTAATTGGAACAACATGATCGCAAAAATCTATCTAATCGTTCTAATTTAATTTCTCCAAGGAAAAAAGAATTAACGTTTCAATTAACGTGATCGAGAGTCGAAATTATATCAAAATGTATTCGTTCACGAAACGGATTATTATTGCCTCGACCCCGTAGATGCACGCCCGTTCTCGATCCCTGAAAAACTGGATGGCGAAGAAGGGTGACGCGAGACGATAGAGGTGTCGTAATGTAAACCGCAGGGTTAATTATCCGCCGGTGGAGCTGTGACTGACGTGTGTGGCAACAGCGGGAACGACCTGCTTCAATATTGCCGTGTTGACATAGAAAACAGCCAACGTGAAGTCAGCCGGCAAGTCTATGTCCGCGTTTAAAACAGTTAGCGCTATCGATTCGGCTTGTAAACGAGAACGAGAAGAACGAGGCGTATCGTTTGACGTTTAACCGCGATAAAACTTTTTGTATGAAAATATCTGTATCGATAAACTGGCTATATTTGCGCTAATTTTTGTTAACTGACTAAATTCGTCTCGGGAAATACGGGTTAATTAAAAAAGAAAAAAGTGACGGGATAAAAAAAGGGGAATAATTTAATCGTGATTTATTTTTCAATAGTAGATAGATCTTTTGGAACGCGTCAGGTAACTCTCTAATAATAAACAAAAATCTCTGAATTTTCGAGAAAAAAAGGAGACTTTAATTTCGATTTTAATAATTAATGCTTGTTATATAAAATTTTTATTAAAATAGAATATTAAAACGGAATAAAAACCCTCTCGATTCCTTACATTTATCATTTATAATTTCCAAATTGATATTAGAAACTTTTAAAATCTAAAATGGCCTAATTTTTATTTCTCATCCGAAATTTTACAAAACCTATATTCACGAATAATATATCATATTATTCGTCAAGAATAACTACGTTGTTAAAAAAAAAAAACTCTGAAAATCCGATCCAATATATAAATTCCAAAATATCTATCTTACCTTGCCTCGCTTGTCACTTCTGTCCTGATTAATCTCTATTGCCGCTAAAAAACGTGTTACTATTCTTATTGCATCCGCGTTACGGGATAATAAAACATAGAAACGCGTCTAGTGTATTATCTGTTTAATGTGTCGCGGCCCCGGAACATCGCCCTAATGAGCTTGCAAACGAGAATAATCCTGTTTCACGCGTGAAGGGTCGCAGTAATGACGTTACCTACGGTTCTTCGTCGCATTTGTCTTTTTCTTACCGACGTTTCACCGTTAGTTCGTGATCGTTAGAAACGCGTTACGCGGATTTCGTGATCAACAGTTTAGATACAACATCGATTATCATTCACTCATTCTTAACGCCCATAAATTCGTAATAACGTAACGAATAAAATAACTACGTTCCATCTTTAAAACTTAACGAGAAAGAATTTTGATAATTATTCACGAATAATCTGGATGGTATCCAAATTTGATTAAATTTATAATTAAGAAGCACAGTAGACAATTTCCTTAATAATTTCTTCTTCGCAATTCTCCACCAATTGGAATTGATTCTCTCACAGTCACACTCTCATCACTGATTTCTGAAAAGAATTTATTCAATGTTAAAACTTTTCCAAAAAAAAAAAAAAAACTATAAGACGATTTCTACAAATCCTATTCCACTTATCGAAATCTTAAAAATTATCGTAATCTTAAAATAATCTAAATCTTAAAATAATCCTAAAATCGTATTCTAAAAAATTGCCACGCAAAAATTTTCACAAATCACAATTCAGTCCCCGTTTAATTCACTGGAATCACTGGCTTCTCGATCAATCCCACGCCTAATTCCTCCGGTTTCATAGCCGGGGGGGAAAAAGGTGTGACGGCAAAAAGAGGGCGCGGAGATTAATAATCCGAGGATCGTTGCATAGAACGTTGCAACGTGGGTCCGCAGGACGAGAAAGGGAGCGATAAGGAGGAAGATGAATGATGGAAGGAGAAAGGTAGAGGTAGCTAGTCACCGTGGAGACCTCGATGCATAAGCCAACGGCGAAGCTTTAAGGATGGGAGATATGTGCCTAACGAGGGTACTGGGCAAGGGGTGGTTCGATGGAGGGGAGGGGTTGGGACGCGAGGAAAATTATTAATCACGGCTTGGGATTTCATAAAGCCCCGTTTAAGCTGTGCACAGTGCATCGTTTATTACCCGGCTCTCCTTCGAGGCTTTGGCGCAGGAAATACACTGGTAGCGGCGGTCTCCTCTTTCCAACATCCGCCTCCCCCTCCCTCGCCTCGATATTACGTATCAAGACGTTGATCTCGGCCCGCGAGAACAACTTGGCCGGCCTCCTTTGCGAAAATTCAACGTCTCCAACAATCCCTTCCTCCCTTTCGAATTACACAGCGTGGACACTGAGCAAACTCGTGGACTGGTGGCGGTTTGTTTGGACAGACGGCAAGCCGCTAAATTATATCCGGGGACAAGATTTCCTGGTTTCCATCGTGATATCGAAGTTGGCCGACGACGACTTTCTCCCGTCGAATATCCAAATTTCCACGAGTTTCCTCTTGTTCGTAGGCCGCTCGCTTCTACGAGGGAAATTTTCTTTTTCCTTTTCCTCGCGGAGATATATTCTCTTCCGTTCGCTTCGATGCTACGTGTTGGACTGGTGTACAATAAGGCGTACGTCGGTTTCGCATGTTTTTATATCGTTCCGAGAAAGGCTCGGAAGGAGAACGGAATAAGTTTGTTTTGTTCGTGCGCTCTCTTTCCTTCTTCGATACGTGTTCGTATGAAAATATTTATACGCTCGGAATTTTCGTCGTATATTTGAAATAAATAACGAATGAGTAATTCTGTTTTGGTTTAGATACGTACACCAGTTTGGAGATTATCAGATTTCAATAATGTAAATAATATTTTAAAACTTTGCTTCGTCAAATCAAACATTTGCTTAATTCAACAATTGAGATAAAATATATTATCTCTTCCGTCACTGCAAATTAGAATTTTGAGAGAAATTTATTTTTAAAATATTTCTAAAATATGCAATTTAAGAAAAAACCCAACAACATTCGTTTAAATACCGGTCAAAAATTGCGAGGAGGCAATCTTCCGTTAATTCCATCAATCGATGACGATGCACGATAGGGCATCTCTCCTTCACTCGACAATCGAGAGCTTTCTTCTGCAACGGAGGCGCGCACGTGCGTCATGCGAGCGCGTGCACGTGACACGCGAGGGACGGGATCAAGGAAGGGTGGTTTTCCCTGTAAACTAAGTAGTACAGAGCGAGCAGTATCGAGTGAAGGGGGGTCAGGGGCCCAAGGCGTTCTAGGAAGGGATTATCCGAGTCGGTATTCGGTAATTGCTGCTAGCAATTTACTCGGGCAAATCCCCATTAACCGAACCTTGTCGGACGTGTTCCTTCGCGCAAACCACGTGTGTGCCACGGACACTTTCCAGGGACGGATCGATGATGAATTTGGAAAGGGAAAGGGAAATATATATCGAAGCGAATAATCCCCCTTTCCCTTTTTGATTTTTCATTCCTTTCGAAAATCCATGGATCTGGAAAATGAAGAGTTTTAGATGAATTGCGAACGATAGGTGGAGTTGTAAATTTATGGCGAATACGCAGATTATGGAATGATGAATTGATAAAATTTAATTATTCCGACGAAGAGGGATTCGTATTTGAGGGGAAAACGCGGAGGAAGTAATAACAAGTAAATAATTACTGTATTTATTATTCATATAAACGCTTATGAGGGGAACGCGTTCCATTATTCTCTTTGGCTGCAAAACACCCGGCACAGGGATTACGTTGTATACTTAATATAATAAAAATTAAATTTTTACGTCCAAATAAACCTGTTGCTCCTTTCCCATCCTTGCAAGGAGAAGAGCAACGAGCGTGTTGCCGCAACTTCAAAACTAACTTTCTAAAATTAAATTAACCCCATAAACCAAATCCTTTTTCCTAGCAAAAAAAAAAAAAGAAGAAAATCCGGAACAACGCGTTCCTTTCCACCCTTATTGCACGATAAACCCTCTGCAATCCTCGAAGGTTTAGAAAAAAAAAAAAAAAAAAAGAAAAATCCTCTCGCGACACCGTGCACGACACCTTGTAAAATCTCGTTTCATACGACGTTTTAAACCCCCCTCCGTAAAACGGCTAAAAGGGAGCTACAAACTCCGAAACAATCGATGACGGGGTAGGGGGCGGCCATCCCGTACGAAAGGAAAGGTTAATGCGACAGGTAACGTGACGTTAAGTCGAAATCGAGCAACTTCCCCTCTTGCTATCGCGAGTGAACTCGAAAACAACTGTTCCTCGGAGACGTGGGCAAAGGTATCGCGGATGGGTCCAAGGATAGGCCTTCTAGGATTAGGATCCTATCCTTTAGCCTGCCATTCGTTTCTCTCTCTCTCTCTCTCTCGAGTAATGCCGCATTACCCCGCAAGAGACGAGAAGAGAAGGCGGGGGGAAGCCGTCTAGGCAGAGGAAAGAGCCGCCCTCTCCGCATCTGGGGAAATGTGCCGAGATTACGGATCCAATTCCAATAAAGTTTAGCACGTGAGACGACTGACAGCGGGGGCCAATTATTATTTAACCGATCCTCACTCTCGAAGTTCGATACAGTTTCGATATTCGCGAAAAATCTTCTTGGAAGGAACGTGCGGCGAAAACGTGTTCTCGATTGGATGGAGGAAATAAAGAGAAGTAAATTTCTTTTTTTTTTTTTTTTTTTCACGAAAGAAAGAAACGTATTTCGAGTGATCGATCGCAGAGAGGCGCGGTTTAATTTATCGTCGAGCGATAAATTCTCGAAGGACGCACTCTCCTCCTCATTCTCGGTTAATTGGCCAAGTTATTATTTCGAGCGAGTAATTAAGCGACGCCGTATCAAAAGAACGCCTTTTTTCCCCTTTATCCTTTAGCCGATAGCGACATCAAACGATTCCGCCTTCCTTTTCATCCTTTTCTCCGTTAATAGCAATAAGAAGGCCTCTCCCCTATATCGGAACTATGATTCTTCCCTTTCCGCTTTTAATCGGGATCGTTCGTTCCACCGTTCCTTTTGGCCGTGCGATCTTTCGTTATTTAATTGAGATAGGAAAAAAAGGCATTGTTCTCCAGATTTTTCATTATTATTCTTATTTTGAATCACTTGTAAATCTTCTTCTTGTTGAACATTTTTTCAAAGTTCCTGATTCAAATAATATTTGCGATATTATAGAAATTTCTCTCAAAATTGCGAACAAGAATTGGGAGAAATCTAAATCTCAGCAAAACATTTCCATTATTTAAAATGTACCATCATTTCTCTATAAAATTCGTTCCATATATTCTGAGTCTTACTTATTTCATATTTGGCACGATCCATCTCTCACTTCGTTAAAATCTTCAAAATTCGAAGGAACATTTCCTCCCATCCCATCAATGGGATCCACGATCAGTTAATTAATAATCAATTCGTTCCATCCAAAAATTTTTCGAGTCGAACAGAAAGTGAAATCAGGAAGGGAGAAAAAAAATGTGGAAAGAAGGGAAGAAAGGAAGAGAAAGATAGGCATGGATTCATCCCCCCACATTCCGTTTTCCGGTTTAACGCCGTTGATCAATACACAACGAGTCGGTTGCAATTTAGAGTGAACGTACATTGTCGTTCGTCCATTCATTAGGCACTTTCTATCCCGTTTTTTTTTTCTTTTTTACATTGTGCTTCGCTCACGAGCACTTGCTTCGAAGCCACGTTAATTGGGTTGCGGTGTCGGGCAACGCTCTCGTAATTAATTACCTCCCCCTCCCCTCCGGTGTCGGCTATACACCGTGATGACATTACGCGGCGACATGCGCGCGAAGATGGCGAAAGATTATCGGTAAAACCCGGGTGTAACGTTCCTCCGTCTTGTAACGGGATCGTGTTCCGTGAACAGGATCCCCTCTTCGTAAGGGGAGGGGGAAATTAGTCATCTTCAACTTCCATCGATTTAATTGTTCGTTGACAAAGTTCAGTTTCGGAAAATGTTTCATTTCGCTCGATATTGCTCGTCGATGTTTATATCGATCGTGATTCGCTGAAATTTCTGAGGGATTGGAGGGGGTAGCTACGGGTCGTGTTCGATTTTATGGAATTAAATCGTGTGAAAAATATCACGGAGGGAGGACGATGGAAATGGAGCAATTAATTGTTTAATAAAGAGAAATAATATCGCATGTGTAATATCCTCACGACATTTTCAGAATTGTCAGAAAATCTCGAAACGTCGAATATATTCTCGTCCGTGTGAAAAACAGGTCTTTGAATATCACAGGTTATTCCGATATGCAAGACTTTAAAAGAGAGTGGCGCTTTTCAGCTGCATTAAATTATATCACGATTATATATTTTCTCTCCTTTCCCTGCTGGGATGAAACATCGTTCGAATACAATTTCAACTCGTTCAATTTATTTCCATCCTTGAAACTTGACTCGAAATCAGATTAAACGGATCATTATTATATCATATTTAAACGAATCGATAAATTTTAAAGCTTAAAATATATATATATATATCGCCCTTACAGAATATCCACAACGTTCCTGCAACGTCAGATCAGTCGACGATTTAACGCGACGCTGTAGACAACGCTGTGGCGAGAATACCGGCACCGGCGTTTCTACAAATACTTTGAATGACAGATTACTCGCTGGCTTGCCACAAATCCCACGAAGATGCGTCGAAACTCTCGAGCAACGGGCGTAAGTGTAACACGATCCACGGGGGTATAGCGTTGGCGCGTCAATCATGCGCGTCTCTTCGTGATGGTGGTGGTGGCGCGGGCCTCGACCGGCCTGCGTGCCGAGTCAGAAATCAGGTATTAAACGTGATAATTACAATCGGCGTGGCCGCGTTGCGGTATGTTCATTCGTGACGAGCGACGTAGACCGATGGTTTCGTGGAAAACCGTGAGCCTCCACGATCTCGTTCCATAGAAAGGAAGAAAACGATCGATCAAGATGATAAAGATAGGAGAGGAACAAGAGGGAAAGTAAAAAGAGTAGGGCTGGGAAAAATGGAAATGAAAAATTAATTTTTTTGAATTTGATGATACGTTCAACAGATATTACTTCAAAACAAATCTTCGATATTTCGATTTTTCGACATAGAACATCGATGATCCAATTGATTGGAAAAGTCAAATTCGTGACATCATTCGTATCGTTACAATTAAAAAATAAAATCGCCGATTTTATCATTTTTTATAATCTTATAAAAATAGGAGAGGAACAAGAGGGAATGTAAAAAGAGAAGGCTGGGAAAAATGAAAATGAAAAACGATAGATATTAATTTTTTTGAATTTGACGNTAAGATTCAATAAATATTACTTCAAAACAGATATTCGATATTTCGATTTTTCTTCGAACTTTCTGAAATATAAAATAATCTTATTTCTTGATAGATT